GGCCGGTGGGAACTAGTTTTCCCCAGAACACATAGGCAGAGCGCCAGGGCCTACCTGGCCCCAGGGGGGCGTGCGGGCTCCGTCCTCCTCCTCCCCCTCACTGCCCAGGACGCGGGCCGCCTTCCTCCCCGGCCTCTTCACCGGAGAGTCGCTCTCAGGCACCATTCCGTTCCTCTCCTTCAGCGCCGCCCTGGGAGGTGGGGAAATAGGGGTGTTCCAGCAAAAAGTGGGGCACTGCTCCACACACACCAGCTCCGGCGCTACATTTCATTCCCTTCCTTCCCTTTCAAGCAGTCAGTGAACATCTAGGGGCCTCCCGGGCTTATCCTCCTCATCACCCCTCCTCCCATCGTACATCTCCAGAGGCCTCCTATGTGCCCGCCCTCCGATGGGTGATGCCAAAGAGCAAGTGGGGTCCCTACTTAGGGCACTGACCTCCACCATCCACCTGGAGACCCTCTTGCAGTCACACAAGCCCCCGAGTTTTAGCCAGGCGCATGACCACTCAGCCAGGAACTAACTCATGTTCCAGCCTCCCCTGCGGCTACGTGATGGGTTCTGACCAATAGAATGCAAGTGGCCAGGGGTGACGCACGCAACTTGCTCTGACCACTTGCCCTCACGGTGTCTCAGCCCTGGGACTTGCCAACCCGCTTTGCCAGTGCAGATGAAGTCATGGCAGAGCAGAGGGGGACAAGCTACGTGATGGGTTCTGACCAATAGAATGCAAGTGACCAGGGATGACGCACACAGCTTGCCCTCACGGTGTCTCAGCCCTGGGACTTGGACTTGCCAACCCGCTTTGCCAATGCAGATGAAGTCATGGCAGAGCAGAGGGGGACAGGTCCGGGTGGGGGAATCTGGGTCCCATGGTAACCTAGTGGTACAGAGCTGCCTACCTGCCCTATCACTGCCTGAACAGCTCAAAATCTTATGAGAAACCTTATGTTGTGACTGGTTTCTGTTAAAGCAACCCTACTACTCCCTGACACCAGCCCCGAGGAGCTCCTAGCCTGGTGAGGAACACGGGCACAGACGATGCAACATGGAGGTCGTTTAAGGTGCTGGGAACAGGGCTGATTCCGAGGTTCCCGCACCCACGGAGCTCGTGGTCTGGGCAAACAACTCCCTAGTTAGGTCCGTGACAGCGGACAACATCGAACAGAACAGAGTGGGTTTATAACCCCTGCAGCCGCGAGTCCTGATGGACGAAGGAACGAACTCGCCGCACCCGGCCCGGTACGTACTTCGGCGGGGGCTCTGTTTCCCCGACGCTGCTGGGCGTCTCCTCCTCTGGCTTCTTCGCTTTGCCCTCTGTCTTGGGGTAGAAAAATGACCTGGAGGAGCACGGGGTGGGGAGGTGGGAAGCGGGGATAACGGCACCAATGACCCTCCGATCTGTGATGTCCTCGCCCCAGCACGTAACAGATTTTGAACAACCCCAGGTCCATGCGGTGGGTGTCCAGGCCTGGGTCTGTCTAGGACCCATTTCCCTCTTCTGGGAACAGCCCTCCATTTCTCTGTTGGGAGGCCCCTTCCTCCAAATTCTCTGGGTACCTGAGATTTATATGGTCCTGCCCTTCCACCCACAACCCACCGGGGTGGGCACACGCCCCAGACTTGGCCAGTCAGAGCCCTGCATCCTTGTGGCTGCAGTGACCAGGTCAGGGACCTGCAGGTGGCCCAAACTGAGCCAACGGAGCAGGACCCTAGATACTGTTGAGATAGATGGGAGAGAGACAGCCTCTTGCCACTGGGACTGCTAACTCTAGGGTGCCACAAGCCCCAGGGAGAGAGAGGGCCAGCGTGATGCAACGTGGGAGCAGCGCAGAATGGTGGGGAGGGGCAGATTTCCTGGGGAAAAGTATCGGCAACTGGGTCCAACTATGAACTCCTGAGGTTCCAACTACGTGGCCAAGTCAGTCCTTTCTTCTCCTGAAGCCAGCTGGCATTGGCACAGGGCTTCTCAGTGTCGGCGTGACATGCCAGGCCGGGTCATTCTCTGCTGCACGGAGCTATCTTTTGCATCTAGGACGTTTAGCAGCAATGCCTGGCCTTTATTCACTAGAGGCTAATGGAAAACTCCCCTCTCGTCCCAGCTATTACCAAAACCACCACCTCCAGACACTGCCCGACGTCCCCGGGGCGGGGGGCAAAACCACCGCTAAGAACCACTGCGACAGGGTTTCCGAATCTTGTAGCTAAAATGTTTCAGTTACTACACGATCCGTTTTCCATATCCCGCTCCCCATTTTCCATACTGGCCAACTCCTGGAAATGCCAACTTGAGTGCTAAGAAAAGGTAGTGTTAGAGGAGGAAGCAGAGAATGTGGACAGGTCCCTTACATGATGCTTCGCTGCATGATGGCGTCAGAACCGTCCCTTCCCCACTTCTCCTCTGCTTCTCCTGTCGGCTGTTCCTGAAACGGACATCGAAACACTTAGAATACTTAGATCTCTATGCAGAGATCAAAACACATAAGCCTCCTTCTTTCAGAAACTGAAAAAAAAATAGACAAAACACTCAGTCAGAAACATCAGTTTTCCCCTCAAGAAGAAACTCTCATTTCTTTGGACCAGAATGATTTGCCAGTGAGATTTATTAGCACAGAAAGAGTTCCAAGTCCGAGAACAAGAAGCTCCCTTTCCGTATGGAGCGGCCGTTTCTCATTTACACCAACCTTCCCGCTCCTCACTGCCCGCACCGACCCCAGCGCTGGCCCGGCTTCGCCTTCTCCCACCTGCTGTCTAGAGCTAATGGAAATCCTTCCAGAATGGCTCACATCTCTCTCCCCACTACGTGATGTATAAAAACTCCCGGCAACTCCAGGCGGTGGGCATGCTTCCTTTCCACCCCGCACTGCTGCTGGGGGTTCAAACTTCAGGCTCCAGGACCTGGTCTTTTCTGGCTAGCTACTGCCTAATAAACCTTTTTGTTTAAAAAAAGGCTTTCAGCCGTGGAAGTTCAAATTTGTTTAACAACAGGAATTCGGTCTCTTTTGTTCAGTGACGTGACCGCAGTACCCAAAACAATGCCTGGCACTGGCACATACACATCCTTGATTACTAAAAATGGAGGTAACAAAAACGTTACTGAAAAAGTTAAGGTTCATAAACAGGATCTCTCAAAACCTAAAGGCCGTAGTGACAAAGTGTGATATTAAAAGGGTCTTCGCTGTTGAACGGTCTGAGGATGACAAGCCAAAGGCTCGAGTCCGCATCTCTTCTGGTTAATAAAAGCTCACATTTCCTGACCTGTCCGCTCCCCCAGCCACACCTCACCCCGTGAAACATTTTACACCTTTCCCCTTAATATGCTGCTCTCCCTCATCCTTTGAGACTTAAAACAGCTCAGCGTCCCTCGAAAGACAACGGCCGTCAGTGGCAGATACAAAAACATGGAGGATGCCAGTTCTGAGTACCACCTGGGACTGGTGATTAAAACACCCCCACCCCACTCCCTGACCCACTGATCCAGAAGCTCCGATGATGGACGGGGAAATCTGCAGGCCTAGTGACCTCCCCGCGGATCTTAAGATGAAATTCAGGTCTTACACCTGACGTTCCCGCCTTCCCTCGCGCCTCCTTCTCAGGATGTACGAGTCAGAAATTCTCACGAGCTGAAACGGGGTGGAGGCCAAAGGGTGGTGTCCATGACCCCGTCGTCTGCTCTGCCCTCACGGTTCCCTCAGCTTCCACGTGCCAGCTCCTCTTTCCAGATGTCCTGCTCTTGTCCCAGCCAAGTGCCCTCCCCCTTAACCTTCGAGCTTCCCCCTCACCGACGGGACACCAAGATCCTTTTTTCTCTTCCCCCCTCAAGCTCCTCTGGCACTGCCTCCGCCCATCTGGGCAACGGTATGCGCCGGCCGCTCAGCTACCCTCGGCTTGGCCGCACCCCCTAGGACCCCACCGTGGTCCCCCGGCTTCCCAAACCTTGGCCTCCTTGCCGTCCATCCCGCCCCTTGGTGGCCCTTCCCTCGGCTCCGCCCCCTCGCCAGGTATACAGAAGGTTCCCAATCTTCTGAAAGGCCGTTGCCTAGACGCAAACCTTATCACTGACCTCTCCCTGGCCCCACCTCCGCCCACCCCGCCTCTCCAACTGTCCCCCGGCCGCGCTCACTATTAAACTTCTCCGGGTCAAACCCCTTTCGAGGGGCCCGCAGCGCGCAACCCACCCAGGCTGTCGCTGACCATCTGACCACGCCCCTCCGGGTGGCCCCAACCCTCCAGGCCTCACCTGGAACCCCGCTCTAGCCCGCGTCTACCTTCTCCCTGGCCCCTCCCTCCGGCGGACACCGCCCCGCTGCCGGGGCTCCCCTCGCCCC